GCATTAAGGAAGGGAGGTAAAATATATACACACACACTTATATATGTGTGTGTGTGTGTATGAACTCAACTGTTAGCAACATTACAACGTCAAATAAACCACATCAGTGCTTCCAAAGCGCAGTAGTTATGTTGACAATAACATACACAGTAGGGCTCAAAAAGCGATCACACGCACTCACACTTGTTCCACAGATATTATTTAAAAAAAGAAAGCACTACGCTTGAGAAACTCGAACTGATCAAAAAGCATATATATATATATATATATATATTCTTGTTCCCCACATCTTTTTTTTTTTCCTTTATTTTTCCCCTAGTGAGATGAGCATTAGTTGAAAAGAAAAACAGAAAAACATGTAGTTCTCAGAGGTAGGTAGAGTTCCTTTTGTTGTACTCCAAGGAGGCTTTAGTATTTGTTTTCCTCCTTCTCCATGATTGATACATTAGACTGTTAATGATCTTGTTCAGAACATGAATCATGAAAGAAATGTGACAGTATCTTCTTCCATGATTCTTGGTTTCGGTACTTTCATAATTAACGAGGCTATGAGAAGATCCCAGTAGAATGGAATTTGTGTGAATAAATATAATCCTCCTGCCGGCAATATAATGATACTGTGACCAAGAATAGCTTGATACTTCTCTTCAGGGAGAAACTCAAGGGACAAAGCAGCATAGAAAGAGACCACCATGGAGACAAGGGAGGCACAAAATGAAAAGAAGCCCAAACAAAGCTTTAATGGCAGACTTCTGCGATAGCCTCTGGGTCGTTCATTTCCAGTGCTATAAATAGATAGAAAAGCAGCCAAAGAAGTGATTGAGAAGCAAAATGAAATTAACAGTGAGATAGAAAACGTGTGACCTAGTACTGTGCTGGGAGCTTCGTAGCATGCAGAAAAGGTCGCACCAGTCACTAGTGTGGCTGCAACAATGTAAGATCCACAAGTGTCCTTCACTGATTTGTTACTTTCCTTGATAAGCTTGTGGTGCTCATTGGCAAAGATCTCCCCTGGAGTCTTACCATTGTTGTTAGTCTGGGAATCGAAGTAAGGGGGCATGGCTTTTTTCACGTACTGCTTCAACGTAAAATACAAAATTTTACAAACAATGTGTTTGTTTGCAATTATTGAAGCGCAACAAGTTTGTATGATATAAACAAAATTGACACTTCTAACGTGCATTATTTGTTTAAAGGGTAAAACAGCTAGACATATTACTACGTACTTCATGTCCTTCTTATAAGATTCAATTAATCAAATACCGTGGCTTAAGAAATATGCTAATATTAATTAAAGTGTGTACTATTTTTCCAAATATCCCTTATTCATAAGAAGGTAGGTGAGAGAGAAAAACAATGAGAGAGAAGATGAAAAACATATATTAAAAAAAGATAATGCAGTTAATTAGAGGTAAAATTAGTAAAAATACATTCAATGTTGGGACAATCCCAAACTAGACTTCGTAAAAGGTGCTAGACTAATTCAAAATTAGGAACTTATTAAAAGGACTAGCAGAGTACGTCCAATTCTAAATATAAGAACTAGATAAGAAATTTACTTAAGTCCTAAATATAAAATATTTCAATCCACTTTACCTCTTAAATTAATAATTTTTTCTCAAAGTATCCCTATTGAATCCATTGATGAACATAGTAATAGAATTTCCGTGAATAGGTAGTTACAATATATATGATTAAAAAAGCATATTTTAGATAAACCAATACCCGTTTGTTATAAATAATGGATTTAATTAGTTTCTTTAATATTTATAAATTAGTTATTTAGTTTTTATATTAATAACTGAAGAGAGTAATAACTAAATTTTAAATACCTCAAACCACATGACTTCCCATTGCATTTGCATAACATATCCTCGTATTTCCCAGGTGGTATGTTTTGATAATTGTGCTGCCAAGTGCAATGCATTGTTTCCATCAGCATCCACCTTTTCCCTCAATACACGCCAAAGTTTGTGGCCTTTTATTGCCTCCAAGACTTGGCTTTGCCTCTCCGCTATTGCCACGTGTACTATGTTCCTTTTCTCTATAAGTAATTGATCATGGACAGACACTGGGATATCACGCAGGATTTTGTTCACCTGCTTGGTCAGACCGTTTTTAGCTGCGATCAGTAGTGCTGTTGTTATCTTGATTCTGTCTGCCAATTACCGTTAACTCAAAGGTTACGTTAATATAAAGGGAAAAAGGCGTATAATAGCCTTCCAAATATTTTTATGAAACTTTTGGGAACCATTTTGAAATTAAATCTTTTTTTTTACATAAAATGACCTAATTACTCTCAAGTAAAAGGAAAAATCCACCATCACCAGTTGCTGGCTGCTAGAGTTTCAAAGTGGTTGAACCTAGCCAAGGTTGAAATTTTTCCTTGTATGAGGACAATTAGATCATTTTTTAAAAAAAGGGGGAAATGACCAAAAAAAAAAAGAACCTGAAAATTGTGAAATCCCAATTTAAGCACCTAACACTTCAAAATCCTATGAGAAGAAGTGGTGCTTGATATGATGCTTTGCGAATTTAATTAAATGAATAAAATGCCTTATTTCAAAAAGTTTATTAATAAGTATTAAAGTGACAATGACAAGTGTTCAATAACAAATGACAAGAAATGTACTGGCCATAACAAGTTATTTATTAACAAGTTGTGAACTAATAATAACAAGAAATATAATAACAATTTTGAAAGAAGGGCATTTTAGTCATTTAACTATATTTACAAAATATCAAATTAGACACCACTTTCTTCCCTGGGGTTTTGAGGTGTTAGGTTCTTGAATTGGGATTTCACAATTTTCATGTTTTTTTTGTCTTTTTTTTCCAAAAAACAATTTTAACTCTAGAATGGTCCTTGGAAACTTCAAAGAAATTAAGATATTTGGAGAGATTATTTTGGGATTATCGTATTTCGGAGGTTTTTATATGTCTTTCTTCCAAACAGTAATACTTTTAAATTTTTCTGTGGGGTTATACCTTCCTGTATTTTCATATCTATGAGCGGATAATATTTCATGTTTACAATATTCTGCATTTCTTTGGCATTGTCATTTTCTCGATACCAAGGATCTTGCTTTACAAGTTCATCCATGATAAGGCCACACAGCGCGTGATTCTCTTTCAGCTTCCTAACAGAGCCTGACCAAGTATTTGCAGACACCAAAACATTAAATTACAGATTCAAAACTTGCACAGGAAGACAAAAAAGAAAGGATAAATTAGATAAAACATTTTCATATTTAGGACCATGAATAACCTTCAAAATTTAACAATGAACCCTCCTAAATTTTTATGCAGATAACCCCAAACTAATCAAATGTATACCCTGTTAAATTTTATTTTTGTATATACATATAACGCCTCAAATTTTGAATTATATGCACGATAAACTCTTTAAACTTTAAGCTATTTACAGATAAATAATAATGAACAAAACCAATAGTATGAAACGTATCTGCCCAAGTGTAGAAGTTTATAATGATTTGTTATATAATTTCAAATATTAGCTAGGGAGATCAATTATTTATGTGTGACATAAATTTCCGGATTTTTCATACTACCTTTGATCCTAATTATAAGACCTCGTTTGTAGTCTACAAAGGATATCTTATAATTAGAAGCGGAGGTTGTATAATTTACCCAAAATAATTGCAAAACAAAAAATGACAATGGTAATAGTAAAAGAAAAAACCAACTACAACAAAATCTTCATTAATAACAGACAAGATAATGTATATGTCACCTGGAGATTTATTGGAATGGACTTGGTTATTGCCTAGATTTGATGATTTATGATTCTCTTTAGACTTCGATCTCTCTACATAAAATTTTACTTAAAATAAATATGATTATCAATCCATACAGGTAGAATTTAAAAGGAAAAACTGCAGGTAGGCCGCGCGAATGGATAATGGTGAATTTAACATGTACAAGAATAAGCATCATAAATAGCAAACAAGAATATATGTCACCTGGATATTTATTGAACCCGCAACTTTTGTTACTGACTGGATTTGATGAATCGTCTAGATTCTCAACAAACTTTGGTCTCTCTCTCTACGCAAATAACTTTGAAAGGAAAAAAATGATGCTTATTAGAACATACTAACTTTAATTTGTACGCTTTAAAATGAGATGATTATACTTACAGTGGTAGAGCAATCTGTGCCACCATCTGAGGCGAATACCATTCTTAAAAGCAGAAGGAATCATGAGAAGCTCGTTCAGAGGTAATTGTCCATGGATATTGAAACAGCTGCCAATCTTTTGGACCTTATAAAGCTCTATGATTTGGTATGACAGTTCTAGCAAGCATTCCATTCCCCAAACACACACATATATTTTGTTAGTTTTTTGTTGATTAATTTGCAGCTAACCGGGGCTTTCTCAATTTTTAGGATGATTTAATATTTTGATTATTCAATTATACATTGCAATCAAATGTTATTAGATATACAGTTCCATACAAAATTTTATTCAAATAACAAACATTTTGGAGAAAGAAAATTGAACCATATTAAAGTGCAAAGTATTAATTCAACATAAAATAATTGCTAATTAGACATGTTCCTCCAAGCATTAGGCGGAGCTGAAGATTTAATTATCAAAAAGAATGAGTAACATCCCTGACTTATATATAGTTTGAATTTCATGCTCCCTCCAGTTCTAAACGTAAAAGTTGATAAAAGGAAATTTGTTTTAATCCTAGAAATCTATCTCCCAAATTCATAATCTTTTTCTTTAAATTCTTCCTATTTATTGCACATATTAATGGGTTTTCTACCAAGAAAGTAATTTCTCATGCAAATTATTATAAGGATATTTAGAGAAATCAATACTCGTCCTTTTACAAGTAACCAATTTAATTAATTTTCTTAATCTTTACAAGTTAATTATTTAGCTCCTATATTTATGATCAAATGAAATATTATATATTGAATATTCATTGTGACTAGGTGATGATAAAACGCAGCATAATTAAAATAAATTTACTGACCAAAGTGTTTTCTCCTAATGGTAAAGTGAAGTATAGTATCTCCATCATTTCTTTTCCAGATTGAGGCAGGCAACATTGGTTCCACCTCCATGCAAGTTGAATGCAGATAAAGGAAAGTCTGTTGGTGACCATTAAGAGCAGCCAAGAACAACGGCGTCTCTCCAACGTTGTTGCGCTCGAGAACCAATGGAGGACAGACACATGTAATGTGTCGACAAATCGCGATAGACCCTCGTGAGGCTGCACAATGCAAGGGAGTATCCCCTTTATCATCCTTGGCTTGAAGAGTCTGTGAAGCCCTACCATTTCCAGTATTGGCTATTTCATTAACCAGTTTCTCAACAATAGATTCTGGAGCTTCATTAGTGATAGCCCAATGCAAAGCTGTGTCGAACCGAGACTCGTCATAGTGTGAATCAGGGCTCTCATTTTTTGGCATAACCATATCTGCCATCTTCTTATCATGAACCAGTGGATGGTCTCTGAAAATATTTACAACTACATCCCACTTTTCTCTCATTAGGGCAATGTACAGTTTTTCCTCAAGACTCTCTTCCTGCCTTGCACTGGAACTACCAACATTGGTTCTCATTTCTCTATATATCTTATTTCAACTGAGGTCAGTCAAACCCTAAAAATTAGAAGAACAAAAGGAACAATCATGTTTGTGAAATGAGAAGTATGTACGGATTGGCAGAAGATAACACATAATGGAGAAATTCAGAAATTAGTACCAAAGGAGGGCTGGTTCGAAGTTAACAATGTTGTTGAATTGAAGGAATTAGTATGTAAAAGTTGATTCAAATTCTAAAGAATCAACTTATATACAGATAGGACATTGAATAGATAAAAGAATGAGTCAATTTTGCCGTCTCTTTTAATTTGGAAGAGGATTTGAATAGTGATAGATGCTAAGTTGAACATTGAAGATAGCTGAGTGATGATGAGCTGTAATTAGTTATACATTGTAAATGCTCGTTATAAACCATGCAATATAAAACTTAATTTAAGGTTTCAATATTTAGTTTGATCCCTTATTTTTATCTTATGCTTTGCTTCTATTCCATTACATTATTTTCTTAATAATTCAACTTTATTTTGGCTTCATTAGCCGCATTACTTAATTTTATTTAGTTACAATCCCCTATATTTTCCTAATATGGCGTTTTTGTTTCAAAAACTATCTTTTATGGAAAAGAAGTAATATTGTATTATAAAAATTATAAATTATTTTTCCTCTTTAACATTCTTGAATTGAAACAATTAAACAAAATCTTTTCGTGGCCCCTGTCAAAAAATTAATTTTGTTGGTCAATAACAAAAGAATTATTTATAACATTAGAAGCTACAACAGACAAAAGAATTATTTTGGCGGTTAGAAATTTCCAAAATGCGCCTCTAAAATCTTAAACCATTGTATTCACCCAAAAAAAAAAATCTTAAACCATTTTTGACAGTCAAAAAATACTCATGCCTGATTAGGATGTAAGTTGAGGGCTACTAAAAGTGATGAGTACAAATTATTTTCAACATTAGCAAATTTTCAATAATAGTTTATAAAGATATGCTCAACATTTTCCCTTTTTGTGTAAGCAAATAACTTTCTAGTTGATAAAATCATTCACAAGAGAGTGCAGCTACTGAACATTAACATCTACAGTCATATATAAATTATTGTAAATATAATTTATACATACTTTTGTATATATAATCACAAAAAAAACTCAATATACACAACTCCATCATATCAAATTAATCCAAATGTCAACAAATTCTCGAAGCCCAAACATTCCTAATAAGTGCAAATAAATGTTAGCTGTAGAGAACTTATCCACGTTCTATGTACGAAGAAGGGGAAAACATTCGAATTTGATCATATCAATAAATAGTATATATAATCCTTAACTTTAAAATGAATAGAACGTAGGCTATTTTAATAGAACATGGGCTATTTTAACGCTTCATTGTGACCGAATATTATTTCAGTCATAAAATATAACCACTATATTTTGGACAGAAAATATATACAGTATATTAATTATATAGGAGATGCGTGCGCATAGTGAAAATCGAACATATATTTCGTCAATGCCAAAACCTAGGAATTGCCAAGGGAACCAATTACAAAGAAGTTAGGGCTTATCCTCTATATCGTGCATGAGACAAAAGTAAAGCTGGAACATGCTAGCTTCAAGAAGACAAAGCTAACTCAGTGTATGTGATACTTCGACAACCTCCTAGATAAATTATACTACCTTCCTTCTTTAATACTACCTCTGCTCTTTAATATAAGAGATAATTGACCAATATAAGTAAGTTAAGAAAATTAGTTAAGTTAGTTATTTATACTAAATAAATGTGTTGTTTTTCCTAAAATACCCTTGTCAATCATGTGTATTAGAATAGAAATCCTTTAAAATTTGTAAATACAATGAGGACTACTATTGGGAAAAATGAATAAATATGGGAAACAAAGTGAATTGAGATATTATATTTAGAACCAAATTACATCTCTATCTAGTCCTTATATTTAGGATTGGAGGTAGTACAAGATAACATGGTGATAAATGATGATACATAGCGACCCATAAAACAGCCAAAAAAAAAAGATGATGATGGGAAAAGAACTAATTGATAAAAAGTAATCTTTCGCTCCTTAATACAAAACCTAATTGGAAAGTTGATATTAGTCATATATGTAAGATTTGTTTCACATGTTTATCAAACTTTTTCCAAATTAATCCTATTAATATTCTCCTAATAGTAATCGAGTAGAAAAGGAAGGGAGGGAACTAAGGAAGATGCTTGGAACCAAAATCTAAACTATTCAGATAGAGTCCTAATGGTCTAGATTTAGATTTAACTAAAAGAAATTATTTTTTGAAAAAAATTATAGTTAAGGATTATATTATTTTGGATTATGTACTTATTACAGAAAAATATTTTTTAAGAAACCAAAAATATTAAATATTAAATTTTAATGGTTGAGTTTGATGAGTATCGTGGTGCTCATCATTGTGATCAGCATTAAAACTCGTTCCAAAGATGCTCAGGGTATTTTAGAAGAAACATACCATATTGACTAATTTAACTAACATTTTTAATCTACTCAAATTAGTTAATTAGGTCTTACATTAAGGACCAGATCGAAGGAGCACTTGTGATGATTGAATAGTACAAACTTTGCTAATAAGCCAATAATTCACCTGAGTAAAAAATAAAGAAAATTAGGGGAAAAACCACATTGCTCTTACTTAAAACATTTATAAAAATGAAGTTAAAGGTTTCATATCCCAAATTTTGAACCTAGAAGCTTAAGAATAAGCCTAAATTAAGTAGGCTATACTAAGCCAAATTTAGTAGAAATTTCAAAAATGCCATAAAAAGATGAAAGGGAAAATGGGAAAGAAAGACCTCTGAATATATGAAATTGTGAAATGGGTTCCTAAATTAACTTAATTGCCTTAAGAGACCAGGTCTTAAATTGTAAATATAAAATGATGGTAAAAAGACGAAAATGCCCTTCTTTTTCTCTTTCTTCCTTCTCCCATCTTTGTCCCTTTCCTTCTTTTCTTTAGCTCCCTCTCTTTGTCCTTCTTTTTCCTCTAGTTCTATAATAATTGCCCAACACACCATATCTTCTCTAAGCTTGTGATTAGAATAACTATGATGATTGTATTATAGTGACAGCTTTAGTGGCTTCATCTATATATTTGCTTTAATGGTTTATTACCAAAAAGTGGAGGGTTTAGTTGAGTTAATTTAAGCTTGTTCCTATGGTGTGCATGGCTCTGGGTAATTCTACCATCTTTCTTACATCTGCAGCCTCATCCAAACTTTTCATCTAAAGCACATAAGCTTGACAACAAGACTTTAAAGGTTGAAATTGAAGAAGCTACCTAGCAAGCCCTTCCCTTGTAGTTATATCTCCATGCATCCTACATGCCATGGCCATATTCCATTACTTTTTTCTTTCTAAGTGGTTACAGTTATTTTGAGGTGCAATTGTCACCAAATCTTGCAAAAACTAGTTGCTATCAAAGCACCTCTGGCTTTTTGTTATTTGGTTACCATTGTTGTAATTCCGCTTAGTAATGTTGTAACTATAGAATTGTGGCTATGATGGCAACAACATGATATAACGATATAAAAATGTTGGTCTTTTATTTATGGGTACAACAACGTTAATATTTTATATTTATTAGTTCTAAATTGTAACAATACAGATCTATTTAATGTTCTGAAGTTAATAAAAAACCGAGTCACAGACTTGTAATTTTGCTTATCAAACTTGTTATTTGGCTTATCACTCTTGTCATTTGGAAATAAAATGTGGAAGTAATGGCAACTTATCATGAAACTTAACTTCATGAGAAACTTAATTATAGAACTGTTGTTTCGCAAGCCACTCTTATTATTTTGCTTACTGCTCTTGTCATTTGGCAATAAAATTGAAACTAATGGCAACTTTCCATCAAACTTGATTTTATGAGAAACCCAATCACAAAACTGTTATTTCACTTACCAAACTTGTTATTTGGCTTACCACTCTTGTCATTTGGAAGTGAAATGTAAAAATAATGAAAACTTTTCATGAAACTTAATTTTATGAGAAACCCAGTCACAGAATTGTTATTTTGCTACCAAACTTGTTATTTGATTTACCACTCTTGTCATTTGGTAGTGAAATGTGAAAATAATGGAAACTCCCCATGAAACTTAATTTTATGAGAAACCCAATCACGGAATTGTTATTTCGCTTATTAAACTTGTCATTTGGTTTACCACTCTTGTCATTTGGTAGTAAAATATGGAAATAATAAAAATTTTTCATGAAACTTAATTTCATTAGAAACCCAGTCACATGATAGTTATTTTGCTTACCAAACATGTTATTTGGCTTACTACTCTTGTCATTTGACGGGGAAATGTGAAAATAACGAAAACTTTTCATAAAACTTAGTTTTATAAAAAATCAGTCATAGAATCGTTATTTCGCTTACCAAACTTGTTATTTGGCTTGCCACTCTTGTCATTTGACAGTGAAATATGAAAATAATGACAGCTTTTCATGAAACTTAATTTTATAGAAACCTAATTACAAAATTATTATTTCGCTTACCAAACTTGTTATTTAGCTTACTACTCTTGTCATTTAACAGTGAAATGTGGAAATAATAGAAATTTTTCATGAAATAATTTCATTAGAAACCCAATCACAGGCTATAACAACTGTTACATTGAAAATAACAACATTCTTATTGCTAATAAATAAAAACCAGTATGGCTATGACAACAACTATTTTTACAATACAAACAAAATATTCTTCTCTCTCTCTCTCTCCCGTAAGGATATTACATATAATCGAGTTTGAACTTAGAAATTTTTCACTTTTTTGTTCAAGCACAATAAGGGTCTTAACAGAATAATAATGATGGCCACCAAGATGATGATGATCCTTTTGCTAGTATAATGGATGATGCTTCTCTATTCTATGTAAATGATGACTTCTTATCTTCCAAATTTCTCATGCATGTCATTTTGTTCATGTTCATCTTCTCCCCTGGAAGTCATAGTCAAAACATATCACA